GAGTGGAGGCTGATGTGAATGAGTGGGACAGTGGGGACGCAGAAGAACAGCCCAGGACCTTTCCATGGCCCTTTCTGTGTGGCTTGAGGACAACCTTTGCACTATTCCTAAAAGGGGATCTTCTAAAAATGGCACTGCCTTTATTCATACAAGAAATTAAAATACCAGGCAAGTCATGTGTATGTACATGTGACAGCCTGTGTGGGTACCATTCTACCCAGCACTACTCATGGACCCTCAGTGTTGACAAATTACTTTTTTAGTATACTGTTATTTACATGCATAAAACCTAAAATTAGATGCAAAATAACTTTACACCTACAGGCTAATCCTTAGACTTATAGTTCTTATGCAACTATAGTTACCAAAAAAAAAAAAATCAAATGTTACAAAACCAATAACAGTAATTAAAATTTAGCGGACAAAAGATATTGTTTTGCTGAAATTAAACCACTACTCATTAAGAGGATAAGACACAGACTGCAGAAGCCCAGGTTCTTGGAAGTTGGTCCTGCCTGTCCCCCACCGTGGGTCAGAGAATGGTTTGTTCTTCCACCACCTGTCTCCATTCAAACTACCCGCAGGCTTCACTCATGCTACACTCTCAACATGGCTTCCTTTGGCTTTCTTTCTTTTGAGCACACCCGATTGTGTTGTTTCTCATTAGAGTAGATAAAATTCTACAGCTTGATTCCAATATGATTTTAAATATGATGTAAATATCAGAGGTCAGCAAACGTTTTCTGCAAAAGGCCAGATAGTAGATATTTTGGCTTTGCAGGCCATACTAGCTCTGCTGCAAGTACTCAACTATGCTATTTTAGCATGAAAGCAAACATAGACAATAAACAAAGAGGCATGGCTGTTTACCCCCCAAAATACTTTATTTACAAAACAGGTAGTGGACTGAATTTGGCCTGAAGGCTGTGTAGTTTGCCAAATCCATTTGGGATTTTAAATAAAATTATTAAAAGTTGAATCAACATTGATGCCAATAAAGAAAACTACTGTTGCAATAAGTTCAATATTTGAATTGAGTAAATAGAAATGAATGGATATTTCCTATCAATATTAACATTAGATATGTGCAAAGAGATACGAAAATTAAAATCTCATCTTTTAGCCGAATTCTCTTAGTGTGGTCAAGGAAAAGAGTAAGGTCCTTGAAGACTGATGATGTATGTATGAGTGATTTATGAGCGATGTATTCTATAACAAAGAGCAAAGAAGTTTGAGAACGAATATTTCGCCTAAGATTCAACTTTGCTATTTTTTTTAAATTGAGGAACAGTGTGTTTTTCCAGGACCCATCAGCTGCAAGTCAAGTAGTTGTTTCAATCCAGTTGTGGAGGGCGCATCTCAGTGACCCATGTGGGGATCGAACTGGCAACCTTGGTGTTATAAGCACTGCGCTCTAACCAACTGAGCTAACTGGCTGCCCCTTGCTATTTTTTTTTAAAGCTAAATGTAGCTAATAAATATTTACTAAATAGCTACTTTATACTAAACCCTTTTGTTGGATACAAAAAAATAGAAAACATGGTCTTTGACTCCAAGCAACATATAAGGTTCATTGGGGAGAAACAATCTACATGAGACTAATTAAGATGTTATATCATCTTATGTGCTAAGGCTTAGGGCTACAAAATTAGGGCTTCCAAATCACAATTTGGAAGGCTATGAGGAGGAGATGGGGCAGAGAGGAGGGAGGAGCAGTGTGAGCAAGTGCACAAGGATGCTAACAAAATGGGGGTAGGCGGGGGAGGGAGGATGAACCATCTGACCAAAGTGGGTGGTGGTGAATGGTGGTAGACAAGATGTTGGGGACATCTTCTATTAGCTTTTCTTGCAGAGATGAAGCAGGATGATCTGTATCGCAGGTCCAGCCAGGAGTTAGAGGAAGCAGGGACCTTCAGAACAGGAATGCTGAACTTAATGGAGAATGGAGTGACACTTGATTCAGGTAGAGACAGAGAGGCTGGGTACATGAGAAGAACGAGTGGTGTTCCCGAGTGTTTCTGGGGAAGCCTCTGTGATTAGAGAGGCTGTGTTCCCATGCATCACAGAATTTTTCACTGTTATTTAGGCACTGGGTGTGCAACAGAGGGAAATCAAGGTACTTGCTTAGGTTGCCAGACAAAATACATGCAACTGCCCAGCTAAATTTTAATTTCAATAAACAATAAATACTTTTTTAATATACGTAATCCCAAATATTGAAGGGCACACTTATTCTAGAAAATTATCCATTGTTTATCTGAAATTCAAATTTAACTGAATAGCCTACTTTTATTTGCTCAATCTGACAACCGTAGTCCCTTCTCTCAGAACACACAGTCTATACAGATATTGATCATATAGAGAAGTGTGTGATTATATGTTAAAAGTGCCATGAAGGAAAAGAGGCTAATATAAACAAGAATACCAAAGAACACCAAATTTAGTTTGGTGGGGTCAGGGAAAGCCTCTCTGACTCAGGTGAAGGGGACAAGGGCGTCGCAGGTCAGAGGAACAAAAGGCTTGTGGGGTCAGACTGAGGAAGTGGAAGGAGACGAGCACGCCTTGGAGATGGCAAGATGAGGTTGCACAGACAGGCAAAGGCGCCACTACGCAGGGCTTTGTTGCCCAGGGAAATATTTGGCCTTAAATGTGATGGGAAACCATGTCAGGGTTTAAGCAGAGAAATGACATAATATAACCTCCGTTTTTAAATGTTGATCTGGTTATGGAATGGAGAATGGGTCGGAGGAGGTCATGAGTAAAGGGGAGACAGATAAGGAGCTATGATGGTGTATCAGGCAGGAGATACGGATGGCTTGGATCAGGGTGGTGGCAGTGTAGGTGGAAAGAGTGAAAAATTTTAGGGTACATTTTGAAGGCAGAAATTTTGGACTTGAATATAGACTGGATGTAGGGTTTGGGGCAGAGAGAAGATGAAAAACAACTTCCACGTTCCTGGCTTCAACGCTTGGGTGGATAGCGGTGGGTTTACTGAGGTAGAGAAGAACACTGGAGGGGGAGCAGTGTTTTTTATGGGATGGGGGCGAGGTGGAGAGTGGAGTAAGCAATAGCAAGAGTTCCTTTTGGACATTTCAAGTTTATGAGATGATATCCTAGTAGAGATGACAAGGAGGCAGCTGGCGCTCAGAGATGAGAGGTCTGGACTGGAAATATATAATTTGGGGAATCATTGACATGTATGTAGAGGAAAGAAAGATTGAAAAGGATTCACATGATTTTCCTACATGGTGACCTTCCACATGTATATTGATACGCTTGATTTGTAAACATTTATTCTATAAACAGCCTTGCCCAACTGTTACAAAAACATACACACATGAAAGTGATAGCTCTGATTTATTAGTGTTTGTTTAATTAGGTTTATTTTCAGATCTGATTTTGTAAGTTCTTATTATAAAAAATATGGGCAACACAGAAATTCATGAAAAAATAAAATCATAAGATAAGCATTAATATTTTGTTATTCTTCCTTTTATCCCTATTTCTGTTCCCTATATAATAAATAGTTCTCCTTAACGTTCAGGCTATTGGAGCCACTATTATTCCCTTATGTTCTAAATAGGCTTCCTTCCACCCACATTTTTGGGGACCATTTTTTTTTGTGGCAATATATATCATGAAATTTGCCATTTTAATCATTTTTAAGTGTACAATTCAGTGGCATTAATTACATTATCAATATTGTGCAACCATTACCACTATCTATTTCCAAAGCTTTTTCAACCCCAAAAGAAACTCTGTGACCATTCAGCAATAACTCCCCATATTTTCTTCCTTCCAATCCCTGGTAATGTCTAATCTACTTTCTATCTCTATGAATTTGCTATAATAGATACTTCACATAAATAAAAGCACACAATATTTATCCATTTGTGTCTGACTTATTTCACTTACCATAATGTCTTCAAGGTTCATCCTTACTGTATCATGTATCAGAACTTCATTCCTTACTCATTCGTCTGTTGATGTATTGATAACTTGAGTTCTTTCCACCTGTAAGCTATTGAGAATAATGCTGTAATGAATACAGGCATACAAATATTTCTTTGAATCTGTTTTCAACTTTTTGGGGGTACATATCGAGAAGTGGAATTGCTGGGTCATATGGGAATTTTATGTTAAGCTTTTTGAGGGATTGTCAAACTGTTTTCCACAGTGGCTGCACCATTTTACATACCCACCAGCTTTGTGCAAGGGTTCCGACTTCTCCACATCCTTGCCAATATTTATTTTACTTAAACAAAAAATTATACTCATCCTAGTAAGTGTAAAGTGATATTTCATTGTAGTTTTGATTTGCATTTCCCTAATGACTAATGATGTTATGATCTTTTCATGTGTGGATTGACCACTGGTATACCTTCTTTGGAGAAATGTTTATTCTTTTGCCCATTTTTTAAAATTGTCTTTGGTTGTTGAGTTTTAGGGGTTTAAAAAAATATATTCTGGCTATTAAGCCCTTACCAGATATATGACTTACAATTCTTTTTTTCTTATTTTGTAGGTTGTATTTTTTACTTTCTTGATAATGTGCTTTAATGAACAAAAGTTTTTAATTTTGATGAAGTCCAATTTATCTTTTTTTATTTTGTTGCTCATGCTTTTGGTGTCATGTCTAAGAATATGTTACCAAATCCAAGGTCATGAAGATTTATCCCTATGTGTTCAGCTAAGAATTTTATTATATTTAGGTCATTGATCCATTTTAATTTTTTAAAATGGTGTGAGGTAGGGATCCAATTTAATTCTTGCACATGTGAAAATCTGGTTGTTCCAGCACCTTTTTCTCACCCCCACTTTTAATTTAGATCAAATATTTGGGGGGAAATTTGTAACTTTCAAAATTTATTTCTGATATTAAGAATATTGAATACTTTCTGAAAATGCTAACTGAATTATCCAAATTGAATTCCTTGTGCAGTTAACTGCTACTTCTTAAGAGAAAGGAGAAAACCATAGACAAATTGGTAAGTGGAAACTCTTTAAAAATTGGGAGTAATCCTTGATTTATGAAAACAGATAAAGACCCTTGTTAAAAATAAGAGACAATCTGAATTATTGAGATAAAAACTTTGGGCTAATAATGTCAGTTTTCAAATGCTTGAAAGGCTATTATATGGAGGTTCCTATTTTCTGCCTTCACAGAAAAAGAGCTACAGAAAAAGATATACCTAACTTGTAATTCGGAAGACTTCACTTTGATACCAAGAAATACGAAAATATAATAATGCTTATTGAGTACCCACCGTGTGTCAGACTCTGTTTTGAGCCCCATGGGGTAGGACTATTATCATCACAGACAAACTTGGACTTGATTGAACCCAAGGAGTCCAACACTGTGCCCAGGCTTTTAGCCACTATGCTAAGCCACCTCCTTTACAAGTGAATTAATATTGGAACACCCCTCCCCGCTGAGAAAAACCATTGTTTTTCTATCAGCAGAAAATTTCAAAATAGGATGGACCTTTATCAAATGAAAGTCATAATCCTGACACATTTGATGACATTCATCTTCTGATTCTATTCAAACATGTCACTTTTTCTTATAGCAAAACGTCTGTATCCACTCTCATCTTCCTCCCTCCCTTCTCTAAAATGCCCAGCAGGGTACTTTCAAATGTTTTGTGACATTACACAAATAACCTTTTCAGTAATATGGATTCATAGCCAATGACACATGTCATAGGGAAACATAATACCTTTTTTCTTTTTCATCTTTGGGGCTTTGTTTTAATAATTCATGGAGACATTAACCTTTCAGGTGGATTTGAGAATCCTTTCTATTTAATACAATTTTGTTTGTGTTCTGAAACCAAGGACATTGAAGGATTTATTCTCTGCTGAATAGATACTCCGTGTACATTTATCTTTGTTTTCTCTGAAAACACCTTTTAACCTTCATCCATCTCCGCAGGGCTCTAACATGTGAGCTTGCTGCATATTGTTCCCTCTGTAAGAGATAATGTGAGGTGCTCCAACAGGTATGCTGTTATGACAATATCCCAATTTCCTTAACCCCCTGGTTTCCCTCACACCATCACCATGATATTCTTTCGGCTGAGTCTGTGAAGAAAGTAAGAAGTAATTAATTTTTGTAATAGGAAACAGGATCTGAAATGGCAAGGTTTTCACCTGAGAAATCACTAAGTATTTTAGTGGCAGACCTGGAGCTCCAGCCCACATCTTCTGATTATAGGAGAGAGTTAAGAGCAATGATTTTCAACTGGAGAGGTTTTGCGTTATTTCTCCAGGGTACATTTGAAAATGTCTGGAGACACTTTTGGTTGTCACAAATGGGGGCGGGAAGTGGCGCTACTGGCATCTAGCTGGTACAGGCCAGGAACGCTGCTAAACACCCTACGATGCATAGAACAGATGCTGCAACACAGAATTATCCAGCCTAAAATGTCAATGGTGCCACAGTTGAGAGCAACTGCTTTAGAGTAATGGAAATTGGATTTGAACCCTGCTCTGCATCTTGCTTAATGTCTTTGGGAAAGTGGCATCATTTTTCAGATTCTGCTTTCTCATCTGAAAAAAAAAAAACAGAACTGCCACCATAAACAAGCAAACAAAGCCCCACTTTCTAGGGTAGTTGTGAGAAACAAACTCAAAAGCACTGAACAGAGTGTTGAGCATATTATGGGCCCAACAAACAAAAACCAGGGCCCAGACCACAGAGTTCAATTATAAACAAGATGGAAGCAGAGAGTGCCAGAAAGACAATATCACTGAAATGGAAAAGAAGGCTCCCTTGCTTCCTATCAGCTTTCGTAGGAAAGAGAGCAAAAGAGATGGAAAGGGGTACAAGAGAATTATGTAGCATTGAGGAGGGTAAAGGAAGAGATGATGAGACTGAAAATAGAAAGCAGTGGGAGGGCTATAAAGGTGAGAGGGATTTCAGTTGTGGTGTGAAGATACATTTGAGAGACATTTAGGAGTAATCATAGCTTGGTGAGCAATTAAAAAAGGGTCGTGAGAGAGGAGTCTAGGATGAATACAAGATTTCCAACTTGGGTGCTTGGGTGTTGGTGATGACATTCAACTAGGAAATCAAATGTCAGTGGAAATAGGCAGATCAAGAATGGGATATAGAGCTGGAATGAGCATCCTGAGGCAAGAGGGGACCAGCCTCTCCCTCCAAACTTGGTAAAAAAGGTAACTTGGACATGGATGGAAGTATGTTTGGTGATATTAGAGAGCATGAGTTTGAGGAAGTTCATATTGTAGAACCTCACATTTTACTATCAATACATAGGCAAGCTCAGCTGCTATTATGGGATATGGAACATAAGAGGAGGTAGGGGCAGGGAATATTGGGGAGGGGCATTGACAAATTAGGGAAAATGAGTAGAGACTACAACTTCACAAAGCTGGCATGTGAGGGATATCTCAAGGTACCGAGGTCACATTGGGACTCATATCTAATTCTTTCTAGATCAGCAACAGAACCCATCCATCCTTAGGGAGAAGCAATAACCTAGAAGGATTTGTTTGAAAATGGGGAAGTGTGTGGGGGTGACCAACCAAATTCTAAATTAAACTGGGCATGGGATCAACTACATCTGTGGACCAATTGTGTCATCTCCTTGTATGAAAGCATATTTTATGGGATTCTTAGAGATCTCTCAACATCCAGAGTTGTAATAATGCAGAAATTTGAGTTTATCTTCCATAAGCCCATCATCAAGACAGTAGAAATAAAGGATCAATGGAATAGAAATGAATCATGATGAAAGTGTTTTCTTTTGCAGACTCTTGCCTTCTTTTGAGCCTAAGCCATGAGTTGGATATTCCTCAGAGACCTCCTGAGTGGAGTCAATAAATACTCAACCGGGATTGGGAGGATTTGGCTGGCTGTTGTGTTCATCTTCCGTTTGCTGGTCTACGTGGTGGCAGCAGAGCACGTGTGGAAAGATGAGCAGAAAGAGTTTGAGTGCAACATTAGACAACCTGGTTGTGAAAATGTGTGTTTTGACTACTTCTTCCCCATCTCCCAGGTTAGACTTTGGGCCTTACAGCTGATCATGGTCTCCACGCCTTCACTCCTGGTGGTCCTACATGTAGCCTATCGTGAGGATAGAGAGAAAAGGCACAGAAAGAAACTCTATGTCAGCCTAGGTACAATGCATGGGGGCCTATTGTACACTTATCTTACCAGCCTTATTGTTAAAACTGGTTTTGAAATTGGCTTCCTGGTTTTATTTTACAAGCTGTATGGTGGCTTTAGTGTTCCCCACCTTATGAAGTGTGACTTGAAGCCTTGTCCCAACACTGTGGACTGCTTCATCTCCAAACCCACTGAGAAAACCATCTTTCTCTTCTTCGTGGTGATTACCTCATGCCTGTGTATTGTGTTGAATTTCATTGAACTGAGCTTTTTGGTTCTCAAATGCTTTATTAAGTCCTGTCTCCAAAAACACTCTAAAAGAAGCAAGTCCTCAGTGTGTGAGTGCCGCAACCTCAGGTATGTTGAAAGTGGTGAGACAGCAGCCCCTGCACTGCTCCAGGGTCACCATTCAGATGGGGCCATCAGCACACCCCAGCAAGGTGGAACAAAGCTACTTTGTGACAAACAAGAGGGTTAAACAAAGAAACCCTGCATCCCTCCTAAGCAAGACCTAGGCTGGGTTAGAAAACAAAGGGTTTTAGCCTTCATGTAATTTGGGAAGAATTTACCATATTTCCCCATGTATAAGACGCACCCTTTTTTGAAAAAATTGGGGTCTAAAAACTAGGTGTGTCTTATACAGTGGTTGTAGGTCATTTAAGAAGTGTGGCATTTCAGATGCCATAGATGGAACTGAGGACGAGGCATTATATAAAGACAGTGATTCGTCATCAGACACAGATGAGGACAAGTGAATGGTTGGGAGTTTTGACAGTGATGAGGAGTTGTATGAATTTTATGATGAATAAAACTTGAGTTCAATAACTTTATGTAACACATTTTTTTTCCAAATTTTGGGCCCCAAAATTAAGGTGCATCTTATACATGGGAGCATCTTATATATGGGGAGATATGGTAATAATTTTTCAATATGTGCCCAGTTGTGTACACTAGACAGAGGCCTCGTTGTTTGTTGCAGGGTTCATGTGTGTACAGGAATTGTGTTTGAATAGTTAATTGCAAATTAGTCTGAAGAAATCCAACTAACAGCATTCTTTCAAGTGCTTAGCTCTGTCAAGTAGAAAATATAAAAGTGACACTCCTAACAAATATGATGGCCTCCAAGCAGCAATACAGGCACTGGTCATCTTTCCATAGTAGCAGCCAAGGCCCCACTCACTCAGCCGGACTCAGTCCTTGTGAGGAAGGACTGTGGTGAGGGTGGGGTAGCAGCTAAGGGGGTGTGGGGAGGTGGGGGGTGAGGTGGAGAGGGGCACACAGTGAGAAGGCCCAGCCTGGGGAGAAGACCGCAGACCCCACACCTCTGCAGTTCAGGTGTTCCTGGGTAGGACTAGATGAGGGGAGAGAAAAGCCCTCACTCAGTGGCCTCCAAGTTAAATACAAATACCACTGGGAAATATCCCACTTAAGCCTGAGCTAACAGGTGTCTGAAAGCGTCACTCTAGAGTCATGACAGAAGGCAGGTCTCACAGAAAGCAGCACATTGACAGGGAGCGGGGAAGGACCCAGAGAAAGAATATGTGCACTTGACAATTACTTAACACTTCTCTTTAACCAGAGAACTTTGAAGCACCTTATAAATTTCCACATTATTGGACTTTTTTATAATCAGGAATTCACAATATAGTTTATGTCATCGTTTGCCTACAATTTACTAGTACATCTCCCCTCCCTCTAGAATAGTTAATTGTGTACTATGCTTTTACTTTCCTTTAAAAAAAAATCACACGTATACTATATTCTCTTTGGATTTAATATTCTAACATATTTGCATTTCTCCAGAATAAAAATGGTTTTGCGGTGGTATTGGTTGTCACTGATATCTTTACTTAGCTGCACTGAGTATGATATTCTGTGAAATAAACTTGTTCTGACAATTTTAGAAGACTTTGCAACCCTGCTTAGTAAAGATAACTTAGAAATCATTCTTTTCCACTGGTAATTTTTAAATAAAAAGTATATTAAAAATATAATTTTAACTAAAACCCACTATGTCATGTGTACCATGGCCTGCCCTCCTTAGCATAAAATCTTACATCTCATGCATAATGAAGGTTATTTGTGTCATCACGTAGTCTACACATGTCACCAACAGTGGTCACAATCTGCCCTAAAGTCTGTGTTGTAGAGGAGAGAGGAAGGTAGACTTTGTGATTTTCCCTTCCTTCAGTTTATACCACAGATCACTGTTGGACTCATGAGCTTACATCCATGTACTCTGTACCATTTAACATGAAAACATCTAGACTTCACAAGTGCAGGTAACCATTAAACTTACAGGAATAATTTTTTTTGAAAGTGATAGGCGGTTAATGAGGTTTAAAGTTTCTGAAGCCCTGATCATGGCATGAAATCTAGAAAATAGGGTTTTTAGTGCACAGAACTGGAATGGAGACACAGGAATTTTTCAGTCTGAAGATGAGTTTGCTGCCAAAAGTGCTTCTAGGGAATTCAGCCTCTTCACGTCAGTTATGGCAAGCTCTGCTCAAGCAAGAATGATTCGTTGGATGTGTCCATTCCTTGCTTTTCCACTTTGTGGAGAGACGAGACTGAAGGGGAATGGGAGCAAGGGCTGTGCATGAAGTTGTTAGATCGAAGGGGGATATTTTCTCCTTTAAGCTTCACTGACAAAATGCATTTCCTGTAAGACGCTGTGGAGGCTGTCTATGTGTTAATGAAGACCCAAAGTATTTGACTGAGAGAAACTGACAGTTAAATTTTGCCATTTTTATTGTTTCTCTTATCAGTAAATTAATATTTATTGAGCAATGATTAATAGAAGCCAGAAACTGTGATGCACCAGCAGCCAGACACTGCTCAGAAAGCAGACAGTAACCTTAGAGATGAAGAAAATGAGACCCAAAAAGGCAGGCAGCATTTTCAGGCACATACATCTGGTAAAAGTGGAGTTAATCAACCACACTTTTAAGTCTTCTTTAAACTATTTTGTCATATTAGGCTTCCCAGACCACTAAATCGATGTCTTCCTAATTTCCTTCAAGCCATTCCTAATTTGCACTTATTTTGGCTCCCTAGCACTTGTCCCAGAAAACTTTCAAGTTACACTTTGCCCCTGGCCACAGGGTTTCCTCTAATTGGAGTTGGAGGAAAAGTTTTTTTCAAGTGCTGGTGAGAGAGAAGACCTAGGGCTGCAACTGGCCATGGTTCCAGTCTTCCCGAGGAAATTGACAATTTCTTTAAGACACATGGACTGCAAAGGTGAGAGGGGAGGGGGAAAAAGCAAAGACCTGAGAAGGTTTGAATTCTTCAATCCTGCTGTCCGACACTGGCTCCACCCCTACCCTTCCTACAGTTCAGTTACACAAAAAATAAATTCCTCATTCTTGCTTCAGCTGGTTTAAACTGGGTTTCTGTGTCTTGCAACTGAGAATCCTAATAAAATTATGTCTATAAGTTTCTTCCCTATATAGTAGAAAAAAGAGGTAGGATACTTCTTTTGTACTGAACCTCTCCTTTTTAGACATCACGCACCCTAACTTTTACAAGCGTGCTCATACAGAATGTTGGTGTAAATTGCGGGAAAGATGTGGAAGGATCTCAACACTGGTTACAGTCTGAGAGGAAGAGCTGAACTTTTCCCTTATAAATCTGTTCACTGTTTCACGTTACTTTTGCTCTTAAAATTTTAATAAAGAAAATACAGCAATTAAAAAGCCCATGTTTCTTCTTTTACTAGCTCACATCTCATCACATGCTTTCTTTAAATAGTGATGCCAATTTATTCCTAGTTTACATTTCATTCTGTTTGTGCATTTAATACTGTATAGAGCACAAAAGAGAGGGCATTTCACAGCTCTGTAAAATCCTGGTGAGGAAAGCAGCACTGGAACACATGGAGGCAAAAACTGCCAGCATTCAACTGAATTTTTATGACAAAAGCCCAAGGGAGGTATTCTGATTGAGACCTACCAGAAGCTCTTTAATTTGAAATTGGGTCTCTTCTCAAAGCAAATCTTCCTCCAGCTGTAAAAGACATTGGCAATTGTGGAAAGTTCTGAGATTTTCCCACAGACCTATCATGTTTCCACTATGTCAGAGTGTCTACTAAACAATGTTCCTAATCTAAGATGAAAATTATCTTTTAAAATACTATAATGTACCCATATATTCTGTAAAGCAAAGTGAAATGAGTTCTGGATGTTACCCAAATCGGTCAACATTCCCATGTAATTAAAGGTGAGGTATCAAATTCTTCCCCAGCTATGGAGATTTCATTTTCTATTAAAAAGCAAAAGGAAAATGTTGTTCAGAGAAAATATGTAATTTGTTCAATTTTTTACCTTAAAATTTTTTTTTCAGACATTAATGCCTCCTCTCAGAGTATAGACAGACAGATGGCTATAGCATAGAGTTGCGGATGAACCTACTTGTCTGTACAGAATAATAGGAAGTTGAAGAAATGGACTACAGATTCCTATTCTTAAAAAATAAAAGTCATTGTTAAACTCTGTGCAGTATATTGGGGTCAGAGGAGACAAAATATTAAGCAATATAATTTCCACTTTTGCAATAAAAATATCATTAACTAAATTCATGATCAATCCCATTACTAAATGAAATATTAATCACTAGATTACCAAGTGCTTTCATTTATAAAGCATTTATCTCAAAGGCAAGAAGTACAGTAACTTGAGATTTGACTTTCTGTGAAAGAGTAGCAAACCTGAGAAGCCAGTCTTCTTAAGAGATTGCTCCTAATTACATTAATTTGATGATGACATTAAAAACTACTGTGGCCAAGGTCAAAGATCTTGTCTTACTCATCATATCGTCGCATCCCCACAACTTAGCTCCTCTATTTAGGAGCTCAGTCTTTCTTGGAAAAAATCTTGTGTTCCTCTTGCTTCTTCTGTCTACCTATATTTACTCCTCTCCACCTAAAAGAATTCTGATTTTGTTGGGGGTGGCAATGTGACCAGCTAAAAAAGCTCAGGTCCTAGTCTCCTTTGCATGTAGAGGTAACAGTGTAATTACCTTCCTATCCAAAACCACCAGATCGATTGATGCTTTGAGGAAAGTTAAAAAGTGGGGCTGACCTAGCTTGCATGCATCTTTTTGCTCCCTCACTCCTCTCTGCCTGAGACATCGTAGCTAGAGCTGCAGTGAAAATCTTTCTACCTGAGGTGACTTTGGGGATGGAAGCAAGACCTTACATTATAGATGAAGGAGCAGAAAGATCCTGGGGCACTGACGCCATTATGAAATTGCCATATCAGCCCTGACCCACCTGTCCCCCGTGCTTTTGTTTTTGTCCTTATGTGAGAGACAACTTAACGCTTACCTGATGTAAGTCATTTCCTTGTCAGTCTCTTTTACTTGTAGCCAAAAACAATTCCTGACTATATTCACATTAGTGATTTGGAAGACACAGAAGGCATATCTACTAAAGACAAAAGAAATGACCAGTATGTTGAATGGCAGAAACAAAACTTGATTTAAAAACTCAGTAGAATTTTGCTCTAAGTCAGGTGAAATGGAACAAGTAATCATTCTGCATCAAAATTTAAAATCTTAACATGAAACCATGTTAACATGGTTTTTAAATTTAAAATCTTAACATGATATTAGCTTACGACACAAAGTCCTTGGAGTTTC